CCCCAAAACCCCAAAACCCCAAAACCCCTTACCAAAATATAAATGAAGAATTAATGGATTGATAAATAGAATATTGATATTCGTTTGCTTTATTATATTCACTTCTTCTCTGGGAATAATTAATAGCAAGTGAGAACGGCACTAAGGAATCCACCAAAGCCAACTTGACCATCGTTGAAATCGAAGCCAAAAAGTTTTCTTGGGAGACCAATGGCCTAACTGGCTGTAACCATATCTCCAAGTGTTTTGAGAATGTTAAGAGTATTTTCAAATTTCTTTCTGTTTAGTGCTGCAAATTTATCCTTAAGTACTCCAGCTGCTCTCTCTTCAGCACTGAGAGATTTAGATTGAGCTCTTAGTGCTTACTCTTCTTGATGAGCTTCATAGATAGAGATAAGAGTCAAAGCTAGGGTGAAGAGTAAACCTAACAACCAGAAAGTAGCTGCTCTTTTGCCTGCTTATTCTTTATCTACTCCCTCAAGGTACTTAATCTTTGCTAGAATTTGTAAGTTATCAAAGACCCAATAAAACAGGAAGCCTAATCTAGCAAGAATTTAAAGGGCTTTCTTGTGCTGAGGTAGCTTTTACTTCTAGATTTAAGTAATCTTCTAATATTCAACAATAGACTTGAATAATCTGAAAAGTTTACGAGCATCTCTCATTCCCTCTAAACAATTGATCATGATACTAATGATGGTAATTACCAAAGAGGCCTTGAAATTTGGCAGCTAACTTATCATTTTTGCCGGTTTGCTAGAATTTTATAATTCTTGAGGCGTATTAGATTGCTTTACAGAACTTATCTCTTCCCTCTAAAGTAAGAATGAGTATAAATTATGATTATTTACCAGTTTGGTTAAGGAATGCAACAGTTTGGTCCATTTGTGATAAAACAATTTAATCAATTATTAATAGTGACGTCTTAATTTAAATTAAGATGCCTCATTTATAAAATTATGTCATTGACTCTTACAATTAACTTTACTTTACAGAAGGGGTTTTGGGGTTTTGGGGTTTTGGGG